GTATATAAACCACAATTTCTTTATCCATTCATCAGTTGATAAACATTTAGGCTCTTCCGTAATTTAGCTACTGTTGAGAGTGCTGCTATAAACATTGGGGTACAAGTGTCCCTATGCATCAGCACTCCTGTATCCCTTTGGTAAATTCCTAGCAGTGCTACTGCTGGGTCATAGGGTAAGTCTATTTTTAATTTTTTGAGGAACCTCTACACTGTTTTCCAGAGTGGTTGCATGAGTTTGCATTCCCACCAAGAGTGCAAGAGTTACCTTTTCTCCACATCCTCGCCAGCATCTAGTCCCCTGATTTGTTCATTTTAGCCACCCTGACTGGCGTGAGGGATATCTGAGTGTGGTTTTGATTTGTATTTCCCTGATGAGGAGCAACATTGAACATCTTTTCATGTGCCTGTTGGCCATCTGGATGTCTTCTTTAGAGAAGTGTCTATTCATGTGTTCTACCCATTTCTTCATGGAATTATTTGTTTTTCAGGTGTGGAGTTTGGTGAACTGTTTATAGATTTTGGATACTAGCCCTTTGTCCAATAAGTCATTTACAAATATCTTTTCCCATCCCGTTGGTTGCCTTTCACTTTTGTTGCTTGTTTCCTTGGCAGTGCAGAAGCTTTTTATCTTCATGAGATCCCAATAGTTCATTTTTGCTTTTAATTCCATTGCCTTTGGGGATGTGTCAAGTAAGAAATTGCTGCAGCTGAGGTCAGAGAGGTTTTCCCCTGCTTTCTCCTCCAGGGTTTTGATGGTTTCCTGTCTCACATTCAGGTCCTTTATCCATTTTGAGTTTATTTTTGTGAATGGTGTAAGAAAGTGGTCTAGTTTCATTCTTTTGCATGTCACTTTCCAGTTCTCCCAGCACCATTTGTTAGACTTTTTTTCTATTGGATATTCTTTCCTGCTTTGTCAAAGAATACTTGCCTATACATTTGTGGGTCCAATTCTGGAGTCTCTATTCTATTCCATTGGTCTATGTGTCTGTTTTTGTGCCCATACCATGCTGTCTTGATGATTACAGCTTTGTAGTAGAGGCTAAAGTCTGGGATTGTGATGCCTCCTGCTTTGGTCTTCTTCTTCAAAATTACTTTGGCTATTCGGGGTCTTTTGTGGTTCCATACAAATTTTAGGATTGCTTGTTCTAGCTTTAAGAAGAATGTTTGTGCAATTTCGATTGGGATTGCATTGAATGTGTAGATTGCTTTGGGTAGTATTGACATTTTGACAATATTTATTCTTCCAATCCATGAGCATGGAATGTTTTTCCATTTCTTTATATCTTCTTCAATTTCCTTCATAAGCTTTGTATAGTTTTCAGCATACAGATATTTTACATTTTTGGTTAGGTTTATCCCTAGGTATTTTATGCTTCTTGGTGCAATTGTGAATGGGATCAGTTTCTTTATTTGTCTTCCTGTTGCTTCATTATTAGTGTCTAAGAATGCAACTGATTTCTGTACATTGATTTTGTATCCTGCAACTTTGCTGAATTCATGTATCAGTTCTAGAAGACTTTTGGTGGAGTCTATCAGGCTTTCCATGTATAATATCATGTCATCTGCAAAAAGCGAAAGCTTAACTTCATCTGTGCCAATTTTGATGCCTCTGATTTCCTTTTGTTGTCTGATTGCTGATGCTAGCGCTTCCAACACTATGTTAAGCAACAGCGATGAGAGTGGGCATCCCTGTCATGTTCCTGATCTCAGGGAGAAAGCTCTCAGTTTTTCCCCATTGAGGATGATATTAGCTGTGGGCTTTTCATAAATGGCTTTTATGATGTTTAAGTATGTTCCTTCTATTGCGACTTTCTCGAGGGTTTTTATTAAGAAAGGATGTTGAATTTTGTCAAATGCTTTTTCTGCATTGATTGACAGGATCATATGGTTTTTATCTTTTCTTTTATTAATGTGATGTATCACATTGATTGGTGAATGTTGAACCAGCCCTGCATCCCAGGAATGAATCCCACTTGATCATGGTGAATAATTCTTTTTATATGCTGTTGAATTTGACTTGCTAGTCTCTTATTGAAAAATTTTTCATCCATAATCATCAGGGATATTGGCCTGTAATTCTCTTTTTTACTGGGTCTCTGTCTGGTTTAGGGATCAAAGTAATACTGGCTTCATAGAATGAGTCTGGAAGTTTTCCTTCCCTTTCTATTATTTGGAATAGCTTGAGAAAGATAGGTATTATCTCTGCTTTAAATGTCTGGTAGAATTCCCCTGGGAAGCCATCTGGTCCTGGACTCTTATTTGTTGGGAGATTTTTGATAACTTATTCAATTTCTTTGCTGGTTATGAGGTCTGATCAAGCTATTTCTTCATGTTTGAGTTTTGGAAGTGGGTGGGTGCTTAGGAATTTGTGCATTTCTTCCAGGTTGTCCAGTTTTTTGGCATGTAATTTTTCATAGTATTCCCTGATAATTGCTTGTATTTCTGGGGGATTGGTTGTAATAATTCCATTTTCACTCATGATTTTATCTGTTTGGGTCATCTCCCTTTTCTTTTTGAGAAGCCTGGCTAGAGGTTTATCAATTCTGTTTATTTTTTCAAAAAACCAATTCTTGGTTTCATTGATCTGCTCTACAGTTTTTTTAGATTCTATATTGTCTATTTCTGCTCTGATCTTTATTATTTCTCTTCTTCTGCTGGGTTTGGGGTGTCTTTGCTGTCCTGTTTCTAGTTCCTTTAGGTGTGCTGTTAGATTTTGTATTGAGGATTTTTCTTATTTCTTGAGATAGGCCTGGACTGCAATGCATTTTCCTCTCAGGACTGCCTTCGCTGCATCCCAAAGTGTTTGGATTGTTGTATTTTCATTTACATTTGTTTCCATATATTTTTAAATTTCTTTTCTAATTTTCTAGTTAGCCCATTCATTCCTTATTAGGGTGTTCTTTTTTTTTAATCTTTTTTCAATGTTTTTATTTATTTTTGGGACAGAGAGAGACAGAGCATGAACGGGGGGGGGGCAGAGAGAGAGGGAGACACAGAATCGGAAACAGGCTCCAGGCTCTGAGCCATCAGCCCAGAGCCTGACGCAGGGCTCGAACTCACGGACCACAAAATCGTGACCTGGCTGAAGTCGGACGCTTAACCGACTGTGCCACCCAGGCGCCCCTAGGGTGTTCTTTAACCTCCATGCTTTTGGAAGGTTTCCAGATTTTTCTTGTGGTTTATTTCAAGCTTCATCACATTGTGGTCTGAAATTATGCATGGTATGATCTCAATTCTCGTATACTTATGAAGGGCTGTTTTGTGACCCAGTATGTCATCTATCTTGGAGATGGTTCCATGTGCACTTGAGAAGAAAGTATATTCTGTTGCTCTGGGATGCAGAGTTCCAAATATACCTGTCAAGTCGATCTGATCCAGTGTATCATTCAGGGCCTTTGTTTCTTTATTGATCCTATGTCTAGATGATCTATCCAATGTTGTAAGTGGAGTATTAAAGTCCCCTGCAATTACCACATTCTTATCAATAAGGTTGCTTATGTTTGTGATTAATTGTTGTATATATTTGGGGGCTCCCTTATTTGGTGCATAGACATTTATAATTGTTAGCACTTCCTGATGGATAGACCCTGTAATTATTATATAATGCCCTTCTTCATCTCTTGTTACAGCCTTTAATTTAAAGTCTAGTTTGTGTGATATAAGTATGGCTACTCCAGCTCTCTTTTGACTTCCAGAAGCATGATAAATACTTCTCCAACCCCTCACTTTCAATCTGAAGGTGTTCTCAAGTCTAAAACGAGTCTCTTGTAGACAGAAAATAGATGGGTCTTGGGTTTTTTTTATCCATTATGACACCCTATGTCTTTTGGTTGGTGCATTTAGTCCATTTAAATTCAGTGTTATTATAGAAAGATATGGGTTTAGAGTCATTGTGATGTCTGTAGGTTTCATGCTTGTAGCGATGTCTCTGGTACTTTGTCTCACAGGATCCCCCTTAGGATCTCTTGTAGGGCTGGTTTAGTGGTGATGAATTCCTTCAGTTTTTGTTTGGGAAGACCTTTATCTCTCCTATTCTAAATGACAGACTTGCTGGATAAAGGATACTTGGCTGCATTTTTTTTTTTCTGTTCATCACATTGAAGATTTCCTGCCATTCCTTTCTGGCCTGCCAAGTTTCAGTAGAGAGATCCGTCACGAGTCTTAGTGGTCTCCCTTTATATGTTAGAGCATGTTTATCCCTAGCTGCTTTCACAATTCTCTATCCTTGTATTTTGCCAGTTTCACTATGATATATCTCACAGATCGATTCAAGTTACATCTGAAGGGAGTTCTCTGTGCCTCTTGGATTTCAATGCCTGTTTCCCTCCCTAGTTCAGGGAAATTCTCAGCTATAATTTCTTCAAGTACACCTTCAGCACCTTTCCCTCTCTCTTCCTCCTCTGAAATCCCAATTATGTGTATATTATTTCGTTTAATTATGTCGCTTAGTTCTCTAAGTCTCCCCTCATCCTCCTGGATTTTTTTATCTCTCTTTTTCTCAGCTTCTTCTTTTTCCATAATTTTATCTTCTAAATCACCTATTCTCTCCTCTGCCTCTTCAATCCAAGCTGCGATCACCTCCATTTTATTTTGCAGTCATTTATAGCATTTTTTAGCTCCTCCTGACTGTTTCTTAGTCCCTTGATCTCTGTAGTAATCGATTCTCTGCTGTCCTCTATACTTTTTTCAAGCCCAGCGATTAATTTTATGACTATTATTTTAAATTAATTTTCTGGTATATTGCTTAAATCGTTTTTGATCAGTTCATTAGCTGTCGCTACTTCCTGGAGTTCCTTTTGAGGAGAATTCTTCCTCCTCATTTTGGATAGTCCCTGGAGTGGTGGGGAACTGCAGGGCTCTTCCCCTGTGCTGTCTGGAGTAACTTGTGTTGGTGGGCGGGGCTGCCGTCAGACCTGATGTCTTCCCCGAGCCCACTGCTGGGGCCACAGTCAGACTGGTGTGTACTTCATATTCCCCTCTCCCAGGGGTAGGACTCACTGTGGTGGTGTGGCCTCTGTCTGGGCTACTTGCACACTGCCAGGATTGTGGTGCTGCTCCGATGGGGTCTGGCGTATTAGCGGGGGTGGATCCACAAGGTGCACAGGGGCAGGAGGAGCAGGCTCAGCTCGCTTTGCCTTTGGTGGTATGCTTTGGGAGGGGCCCTGTGGCACCAGGAGGGAGGCATATCTGTCGGATGGATGGATCCACAGAAGCACAGCATTGGATGTTTGCGCGGTGCAAGCAAGTTCGTGACAGGAACTGGTTCTCTTTGGGATTTTGGCTGGGGGGTGGGTGAAGGAGATGGCGCTGGTGAGTACCTTTGTTCTCCACCAAGCTGAGCTGTCCTCTGGGGCTCAACAACTCTCCCTCCCATTGTCCTTTAGCCCTCCCACTCTCCGAGCAGAACTGCTGACTTATAACATTCCAGATGTTAAGTCCCGCTGGCTGTCAGAACACACTCCGTCTGGCCCCTCCACTTTTGCAAGCCAGACTCGGGGGCTCTGCCTTGCCAGGTGTGCTGACTGCTCCCCCACCACCCTGGCTCCCTCCCGCCATTCCATGTAGCATGCACCACCTCTCTGCCCTTCCTACCCTCTTCTGTGGGCCTCTTGTCTACGCTTGGCTCTGGAGAGTCTGTTCTGCTAGTCTTCTGGTGGTTTTCTGGGTAAATTAGGCAGATGTGGGTGGAATCTAAGCAATCAGTAGGATGCAGTGAGCCCAGCATCCTCCTACGCCGCCATCTTCCCTGTGATTTTTGTTTAACATTAGGTTTATAGATATAACATCTTAAGTATATAGAAGTTTGTTTTTTGTTTGTTTGCTGTGGGGAATAAGATTAGAAATTCACTTGGCTTACACCAATGGGTTAACAAGGCATAAAGAATTACAAAGCCATAGGGTGTTCTCACCCAAACTTGTGTGAACAAGATAAGACCCCAGAATGTAGTAGGGTGAGGCAAAGGCCCCAGAATAAAATAGGGAGTGGCTAGAGCCCCCAGAATAAAGAGGGATGGGCAAAGTCCCCAGAATAGAGAGGGGGCAAAGTTCCCCAATACAAAGGTATATGAGGTAAGCAAGATTAGGCATTCAGGGCAAAAGTGCCCCCCAATTTCTATAGAAGAAAGCTGCTTTCACAGAAGGGAAGGACCAAGTTAGGTAAACAGGTAAATAGGGCTATAGACCACTGCACTGTGGGTAAAGCTGCCCAGAGCAGAGTTCATTAACAAAAGAAAAGTTGCCTTGTTAATCCTGAGGTTATATGTTCTATCTGTCTTATCCCCTAGGCTAGCTAAGATAAACAGACATGGCAGCACCTCCTGTCTGCCCTTAACAACTATTTGCCCATCTGCCTGGTGCCAGGATTTTGTTTTATATTGACCCAAACCCCAAACACTGTATATCTTCAAAACCCCATTTTCCCTCATGCCCATGAGTTAATGTTCACCAATTCATTGTCTCTTTGTGCACACCCATCACATTTGTAAGCCTTCTGATCTTAATAAATACAGGTCAAAGACGCTTATTTGGTGCTCTTGTCTTTTCCTGGACATTAGCCATCTCTCACTTTTAATCCATCCCACTCTCTTGCTAGACAACAGAGAACTTTAGACTTAGAGTGTAATACAATTTTCAAATTTTTAAAATGTTTTTTTGAGAGATAGAGACAAAGAATGAGCAGGGGAGGGGCAGAGACAGAGGGAGACACAGAATCCGAAGTAGGCTCCAGGCTCTGAGCTGTCAGCCCAGAGCCTGACATGAGGTTTGAACCCACAAATGGTGAGATAATGACCTGAGCCAAAGTTGGACACTCAACCTACTGAGCCACCCAGTTGCCCCAGTATATAGTAGTTTATTTTATGTTGATGACCAAGTTAAGTTTGAACCCAAACTAAAAGCACTAAATTTCTACTCCCCCTCCCCACATGTTATATATTTTTGATGTCATACATTACACCCTTTTATATTGTGGATTCTTTGATTCATTTTTGTACATAGGGTCCTACAGCTTTTAAGTAGAGAAGGCAGAATTGAAGTTTCAGTCTAACTACAATGTTTAATTTTCAAAATATCGCTTGATACATTAGATATTTATTATCATGAAGAATTTACACAAATAAAACTTAGTCATTCAATATTGCCATAATACCAAAATGATAGAAATACAGTATAGCATTTCTGATTCAGTCCCCACCTACCTTTTTCTGAAACTAAGCCTCTGGGAGTTGCATTTGCAAAATCAGCCTCCCTTCTACTATTCAAACTGTATTTGTGTCCTAAAATCTCTATTTTGGTTAGACGAGTTTTGGACAAAATTGAGGCCCTCATCACCCTCACCTTGGGTATAAGGAGATAGCTCAATGACTAACGAGGCAAGCAAAAGTACCTCAGGCTGCTGCCCCTCCCCACTGAGAACTCCCCACTGACAGTATGCTCACACTAAGGAAATAAATTGCTAATGTCCCCACATCCAATTTCACATCCTTTTTTCAGAAATTTTTCTTGGAGGGAGACATAAAGAAAAGGACATCTAATCTCTTCCTAAATGAGCTGATTTAATTTACAGCAACCATAGAGAAAGAAAAGCCTAAGGGCACTCAAGAAAAGTAGAGCCGAACTCTGGTTTCCTTTGTGGCATGTAAAGAGCTTGTAGGTTATCATTTCTGTCCAAACACCAAGCAAAAAGCTGAACAAAGTAAATACAAAGAGAAAGCAATAGCAGAAAAAATAGAATACCCATGATTATGTACAAATTAAGTAACACATTCAAACAATCAATGGATGGGTGTAAAAAGAAATTACAAAAGAAATTAGAACTGCCTTCAGACAACCAAAGAAAACACAAATTTATGGGATATAGCCAAAGTACTGTTAACAGAAGACTTTAGAGCTATAAACATATTTAAAACAAAGAAACACCTCAAATCTACAATCTCATTTTACAGCTCAATGAACTAGAAAGAAGACAAACAAAACCCAAACATAGTACAACGAAGGCAACAATAAACATTAGAGCAGGGTATATGATATAAAGAATAGAATCACAATAGAAAAAAATCATGGTTCTTTTTTGAAAATATTAACAAAAATGATCAGTCTTTAGCTAAATTAATAAAGAAAAAAGAATACTCAAATAGAATCTGAAATAAAAGGAGAGACATTACAATTGATGTTACAGAAATAGCAATATTAAACACAAACCCAAGAAAAATGGCAAAGTGATACATAAAAAGGTGCCCCAAATTACTAATCATCAGAGAAATGCATATCAAAACCTCAATGAGATATTTTATGCTCGTCAAAATCATTAGAATAAAAAAAAAGAAATTAGAAGTGTTGATGAGGATATGGAGAAAAGGAAATCTGATGAACCATCTGTGGGAAGGTAAATTGGTGCAGCCACTATGGAAAACAGTATAGAGGTTCCCCCCAAAATTAAAAATAAAAATACCATAGGATCTACTAACTCCACTATTGGTATTTATCCCAAATAAATGAAAACACTAATTTGAAAAGGTATGTGCACCTTTATGGCTTTTTGCAGCATTATTTACCATAGCCAAGGCATGGAAACAATCTAAGTTTTTATCCATAAATGCATGGATAAAAAAGATGTGATGTGATATATATATATATATATATATCCCTGATGAACGTTGATGCAAAAAAAAAAATTGAACAAAATACTAGGAAATGGAATTCAACAACATATTAAAGGATCTGTCCACAGAAACCTGGCAGGCCAAAAGGGAGTGGTAGAACATATTCAACGTGCTGAATGGAAAAAATATGCAGCCAAGAATTATTTATCCAGCAAAACTGTCATTCAAAATAAGAAAGATAAAGAGTTTCCCAGATAAACAAAAACTAAAGGACTTTATGACCACTAAGTAAGCCTTATCAGAAATTTTAAAGGTGACTCTTTGAGTGGAGAAAAATACAAAACAAAGCAAAAGAGACCAAAAGCAACAGACTAGAAAAGACCAGAGAATATTACCCCAAAACACCAATTCTACATGCAACACAATGGCACTAGATTCATATCTTTTGATAATCACTCTAAATGAAAATGATTACATGCTCCAATTAAAAGAAATAGGTATCAGAATGAATAAAAAAATAAGACCCACCTATATGCTGCCTACAAGAGACTCATTTTAGACCTAAAGACTCCTGCAACTTGGAAGTAAGGGAATGGAGAACCATCTATCATGCTAATGGATGTAACCACTAAACCAGACCTGCAAGAAATTTTAAGGGGGAATCTTAGAGTAGAGAAAAAATAAGACCGATGTAACAAAGACTATAAAGGACCAGAGAACATAATCAGAAATACCAACTCTATGGGTAACACAATGGCACTAAATTCATATCTTCCAATAATCACTCTGAATGTAAATGGACTAAAGGCTCCAATCAAAAGACAGAGGGTATCAAAATGGATTAAAAAACAAGATCCATCTATATGCTGCCTACAAGAGCACACTTGTAGACCTACAGGAGGATACTCATTTTAGACCTAAAGACACCAGCAGATTGAAAGTGAGGAGATAAAGAAACATCTATCATGCAAATGAATGTTGAAAGAAAGCCACAGTAGCATATTTGTATCAGACAAAGTAGACTTTAAAACAAACACAGTAACAAGAGACAAACAAGAAGATATCAGAGATGGAAATATTTATGCACCCAACAAGAAAACACATAAATGTATAAAACAGTTAATAAAAAATAAAAAGAAACTAATTGATAATTATACAATTATTCCAGTTGCCTTTAACACTTAACATTAATGAATAAACCATCTAAACAGAAAACTGACAAGGAAACAATCACAAACTGAAACAGACATATTTAACAGATATATTCAGAACATTCCATCTTAAAACAGAATACACAGTCTTTTCAAGTGTACACATAATCTCCAGAAGAGATCACATATTAAGCCAAAGCAAAAACCTCAACATATCAAAAAGAGCCAAGTCCTATTGTACATCTTTTTTGACCACAACTCTGTGAAACTAGAAGTCAACCACAAGAAAAATCTAGAAAAACCACAAATACATGG